AGGTGTTCTATTACGTGCTCTCAGGAGTTCCCGGCGGGAAAAATTTTTTACAGTGTAGGTACTGCACATGTCGCATTAAACATTGTCTCTCTCTGAATTATTTAATATATATCCTTCATTCAAGCGTGTATACATTTTTGAGACACGCTGTATATTCATTTGCACTCGTTTCAGCTCCCTGGAACAAGTTCACTTTGACTCTGAGTTTGCTGGATGTGGCTTTCGTCATTCGATGAAGAGAACACCTCATGATGAGTTCCTGCTGAATTGAAGAAGCAAACTGTTGATGAGGGGAAGTCAGTGTGATGATAACTCTATTGTGTCTAACGAATCATTCTTGGAATTAGTTGGCACGGTTACCGTATACACAAAGTCCTAAGAATTAAAAAAAAATTAAGTTCACACTTGGTAACCGGAAGGGTGAGGGGGGGGGGGGGTGCGATTTGGTAAGAAACCATAATTATGATGAAGAAGGCGGCAGCGAAGACGAGTGCCTTCACGTTAGCATCCAGTTGTGGGGAGAAAGTGAGGCCGTGGTGATCCGCATCTGTGAAGACTTCCTGGAAGAAAACTGACCATTCTTTCTTGATCACCTCGATCGCTTCCCTTACGAAAATGTTTCATGAAGTGAGCCCCGCTCACTGGTTCAATTCATGTCCCGCGTCTTTTCGACATCTCTCACACACTCTCGACTCTCGTTCCGACAACTACGCTGCTACACACACACTACACTGAGTGCATGGGACTTACATTAAATCATGGAAAATGCGTATTGTCAAACACGACGATTTAAGCATTCTAATGAGTGCCTACTGCAAGAGTATGTCTCAGAGAACCTGATGGTTTTGGATAAAATAGACTTCGAGATGAAGTCAAACATTAGGTACCCCTTTTGTTTTTAATTTCACAATTGTACAGGGTGGCCGAAAAGTCACCGTACCCCTACCTACTTTTCCATATATTTTCATATATTTCGTTAATAGAGAAATAAAAATACCGGTGTGCACATCCCACATGCCTGCTCAACACAGAAGCGTGTGGGCCTGACGCGAAACTGCCCTTGCGCGACCGGCTAGGCGGCTTCTGCGAGAGCTCAGCAGAATTCAGTTTTGGCGGTTAACTATGGCGGACACCAGTAGCTACACCATTGAGGAGCGCTTAGCGGTGAGTGTGTGCGTGCATGAAAGACAGCACACCGGATGGCAGCGTTCCAGGTACGATTTGGAAAGCCACATCTCCGTAAAGCCGTTGGGGTGAATGTGCGATTGAGGAGCAACAGTGGCACACGTGTCCACTCGAGTTATTGGCCGACCGCTGGGCGGGCTGTCCACACTGCCGTTGGAAAGCGCTCGTTTCTCACATGCTAATAATGTTGCTTTACGCGGAGATGACTTTTCAAATCGTCTCTGGACGGCTGCCATCATCTAAACGGTGTGCTGTCTTTCATGTACCCACACACTCGTCGCTAAGCGCTCCTCAATGGTGTAGCTACTGTGACATGTGAGATGTACCCACGGGAATTTCTATATCTCTATTCACGAAATACATGAAAATATATGGAAATGTAGATAGGGGTACGGTGACTTTTCGGCCACCCTGTACAGGGTCTTGCATGACCTTTTGCTAAGGGATGAAGTAATTATGGAGTATAAAAAATATGAGTATTATAATTATCATAACCAATTTTGTCCTGATTTCAGAATACTTATTGCTTAATATTATGCCTGGGGTCTTTGGCGATGACAAGAGACAACGTGTGATTGACCCCATTCGAGCACACGCCTATCTAGACGCAAGGGAAGCAGGTGCAACGTTTATCAATTGAGAGTGAATTGCTCACCGCTGCATCGCAAGGAGAGATTGAGTTACTGAAACTAGAGCTAAAAAGATACAAATCGAGTTTTACGAAATTTGGTGACGGCAGTTGGAAAAGTAGTCTGAAGGGATCAACAAAACATTGCGATGGAGAACAGTGGAAAAAGACGAAGAGAAAAAACTACTGTCGAGTCCAAAAGACATCTCAAAGCGGTTTGGAAAGATTGTTAATCCGTCAACGATACGACAATACAAGAAAGGAATGAAGGGATTAAGGACAAAGTGAGCTCGGCATTGGATAAAATTCTGAACCTTCAGACCTTCCAAAATGTTATTCATGAACTGGAAAACATAGCATAACTTTGTGAAATTCTGTAAAAATTGCACACTAAAGGTTTAAGGTCTGTACGCGAAGCACATGGCGGCCGTACAAAATGCCGATCCATTACTGTTTTCAGCTTGAATAAAAGTTTAAATTGAGATATTACTTACAATTGTTCTAATTGTACATAAGCTTGTATCCTCCTAGCAAAAAGTTACGCAAGACCCTGTATTTAAGAGATCCCACGCAAAAATGCAGAAGGCAAGCCAAATGTAATGGCCATTGCTACGACCCATTGACTACTATTTATATTTCTAAGCGTCTTGTCGATTGGCCTGCTTGCAAAGAAACAGAAATGCGCGATTTGTGGATTGTGTACAACCCTGCGAAATTTATTTTGAATGCAACTTCTCTGCCATTCAGGTAAATATCGTAGTGTTTCGAATGCACAACTGTTCGCATGCATGCAAGGACTGGATCAATAGAGACAAGACTGCCTCCATAACAATTTCCTTCATGAAACTCCCGTGACAATCTTGTATTGTGTCGTAAGGATTCATGAGGATGAATCGACCAAACTTATTATTCTTCTAGTTCTATTTTGAAAAATGTTATTTTAGCGTGGACACTTTGCCACCCCGGAAAAAAAAGAACTTTTTTGATGAGTTCAGATGAATTAAACATATTTGAGCCGATCAAAAAAATCGGAGTGCCCTCAGATATTCCAAGGAAGTTGTTTTCGCCAAAAGTGACAGAATTAATTTCATTCACTGTTTAGATGGACATCCTAATCGTGATGGAAGTCAATGTAATCGGCAGGTAAGTCGCAATTAAGACGGGAACAGATCCAGTGGACCCACTTCCATTGGGATGGGTTCACCACAGCAGTGCAAATCCACCTCAACAGGGTGGAGCCCTTAGGGGAACCCTGAACAGGGTGAAAAACGTCTACTTCCCGGGTTGTTTGTTACTCATCCCTCCCTATCTTCCAGATTCAAACTTCGTCTCGCAATGCTAACAAGAACGAGGGCCACTTATCTACCTGAGTGTGAGAGGGGAGAGATATAAAAACTTGTTGTAGACAGATTTACCGACACCTCTAAATACAAATGACCGGTATATGTCTGTATGACCGGGTTTTGTCCAGTGAACTACATCTAGGTTTCTCAACCGATTTCCACCATCGATACCTCATTCTATTTTTAATTTCTAGTAGATGGTCAAGCTCATTTTCGATTTTTTAAAGTTAACTTTTCCCCTGACCTGGATGACTTTTAGTATTAATTTTCGAGGCAATTTCTGGCCTGACTCTCCATTCGAGAGACCTTGAAATCCTTTTTAAGAACTTGCTTTCACGTTGTAAAAAGGTTGACACTTTTACCTCCTGCGGTCAGAGATGAGAATGCACTAGTGCCATCTCTGTACAGATTAGAAAACTGCATTGAGGTGCTTGGCCTTGCTGAAGGAGCAAACTTCAACATTTTTTCGATGTAAAAACAAATTCTAATAGAGGATTTCAAGAGCTGCGGCAATGTGTGCCAGGCCAGGAATTGTGGCTAAAATTAATGCAGAAGGTCGTTCGGGTCAGCTCAAAGGAGAACTCATAAAAATATCTAATATGAGTTGGACAATCTGCAGGATATTAAAAATCGAATGAGATATCAACGGTGGAAATCGGTTGAGAAACCCAGGAGGAGTTCACACGACAAAATCCGGTTATACAGATTCATCTGTCGCTCGTTATGTACTGTATATACCGTAGATGTCCCTATATCCATTTATGAAGTATTTACTTTTCCTCTCTCCCACTCAGATAGATAACTTTTCAAGAGGCCCTTGTTCTTGTTAGCACTGCAAATCACAGTGGAATCTGGATGGCAGGGAGGGATAAGTAGGAAACAATCCTGGAAGTTAAAGTTTTTCATCCCGTTCAGGGTTCCCCATTCACTTTTAGGAGTATTTCACCCACTAAAACTTTCATGTCTGCGCGCAGCCGGTTTGAATTCAAGGGTAGGACCTCAGCGTGAAGAATGCCAAATACCGGGGTTAATGAATGGGAAAGCGTCCGCTCCTTATCAGGAGCTCCCTATACTTTCCATGAGCTCCGCGAGATGATGCCACTTTTGAAGTGTTGTCCTCATGCCCCATTTACCTTCCCCGCTTGTGCGTAGGTGCTTCAAGTACGTCAGCTTCCTACCAGTTGAATGTAAGTTGACCGTAAATTTCCAGGGAGTACACGAGTTTCTCCCTTTGAGGAGAACTCGCCTGATGACTCACCTCATTGGGGCACTCTTTGATGAAAACTCGCGAGTTTTCCAAGAGTTTTCCACTCACTAAGTTTATCGGAGCTTCAAGAGTTGACATGCTCTCTAAAGACAACATTCCTCGCTCTGGCATTGAATTTGCCTATTGATTTGAGTCTTCCATGTCGTTATTGTCCCTACTAATTGCCTACTCGCAGACTAAATTTTAAAGAAAGTAAAGGTCAGTTAATCCAAATTCCTTTGATCTAATCATTCTATTTGGTAACGAAGAGTAGTTCGACCGGCAGAAGAACACAAAGAAAACCGAAGCAGTGACCAGGAATGGTCTCCGACAAAATTCGATTTGCGAATATCTTGCTTCGAAGAACTTACTTTTGGATATATTGCCACACTTCTAGTGGGCGCATATACTGATCGTTTGTAGTGAAAGAGTCTGATGTGCAAGATTAGAGCTCCACAATCTCCTCGACAGGAGCAGCGAGACATTGAACATTTCTAGGTCAGAAAGTGTATCAATTTTTCTATGGGTCGTTCTGAGAATCGTGACTTGGATCCATTTGTTTAGGCATGAAACAAGTGGCAATGTGCCGAAGGGTGCTGGAAACTATATCCTGGCGCATGGATACTCGGTCCGAAGTTTCCTAATCGAAGTACTCCTTAATCCACGAAGGACATTGATAACAGGCAGCAGAGTATTTGACTCTTGAGTTTAAAGAGCAGGACAACGGAAAGGGGCAGCCAAGTATTTGACTTAATGGGGAAGACCGCCTAATCGTCCATAAATTGCGCCACCGATAGAAGCTCACAACCCATGATGATGATGAAGATGACTCTCTCTCACATGAGAGAGAGTCACACATGAGATCCTGCGTCTCTCGATCCAAAAATGCTTTGTGTTCCGTTCGAATAAAAACCAAACACAAATGTTCAGAATAGAGGTGGACCTATTTCTTGGAAATCGTTTAACTGATGTAGGACATCGACAAAAGCAATATCTTACGCGGGTAACACCCACACAAGTGCAGTCGTACATGCATACCCCTATACCTCCGCCCGTAAGGGTGGAGGGCGTGCACGAGACTGGGCGCATTCAGTTGTGACCCGAGTCAAGTGACTCGAGGGTCTTAGTGGCATTGAGGCTTCAAAATAAATTTTACTCCATGGTGACACCTATTATCAGTGTCATCAATCCTGGGTATAATAGCTTTTGAAAAGCGCCGCACCTGCCGAGAATTATGATCCTCGAGTCATGACCTGGGTCACAACTGAATGCGCCCACTTCTACAATCCTCGCTGGTGCAGGCGCGAGTGCGTTAGCGATCCGCCTGCTCCTAATTTTCTCGAAGGCAATTGCCCCCATTTCCTCCAATTTCACTCTTTCAGAGCCTGACATTATATCCAGTAAAAGCTGATTGCCAGAATACAAGCTGCTACGTTGGAAGTCCCTATTATCCCGAGTTCAGTCAAACTACGATTTAAATCCGCAAAAGGAAACACTAGGAAATATTAATTCCAAGGCTACATTGTAAAATTGGCTTACAACCTAATGTTACAAATACTGTTTCATGAAATCGATAGAAACCCTCAGTTTTTCTGCGATCCATTATGTAGTCTTGAATCATGGACTAATGAATTCCCTTAGAAGTGAAAGAATAAAAACTTTCAGTGCGAATATTTGTATTTCAGGTCGTATAGGGATGCCTTAGAAGTAAATTCGTTTTTTTCTATTTGCTGTACCTCTTTATCGTTACAGGGAGATGAATTACGAAACTTCATTGGAACAACTAAAGAGCGTCTTGAAGGCCGACGATACCGACGTCGATGCAGACGCGTTCATCGTTAAATTAGCTGAGAAGAACCTCATCTCCGAGCCCGAGGAAACAGAATTGAAATCAAAGAATCACCACTCCAAGATCGACGACGCATTCGACATCCTCTGCAAGAAAAATCCTAAAACAACTTATGAGAGCGTTCTGGGTATGCTACAGGAAATGCAGAGAAATGATATCATCGAAATCTTCCATAAGTCTCTTGGTAAGTCTTCATTGCGAATCCATAGACTGACTGCAAACTGCAAAATTTCAGTAGTATTCTCTATTCCCTCGATCCCCTTCGAGTTCGGAGGTTCCGCCTTCTAATGAGAAGGGATCCCTCATCAACAGATTTTTACTCTGTGTTTGTGGGGGGTGATTGGAGGCTACTTGAAGGCGTGACTGACATGGTGGATATGGTTGGGATGAGTTATATTGGCGTCTTCACCGTCGTAATTACTGGAAATTCCGGGATTCAAAATTAGAACACATGAACCTGAAAAATGGTTGCAAGATTCTTCAGATGAAGGAATCCATGGTTTTGTGAAGTTTTAATTTTTTCCTTCAGTAAATATATGGCTTTCTATATGGGTGAAAGAATAAGATAAAACTAAATGTATTTTTAATGAGAATGGGTGTGGAAATGGGTATAAAACTGATGAGGATGGGTCCCTGGCATCCTGCTTCAAGTCCATGAGTACAACACCCTGGTCTCGCGTGCACTTATAGGGCCCTATCGCAGGGAGTCCAAGTCATGGACGGCTTCCAGGCCTGTTACATGATAAGGAAGTAGGTGACGAGGTCAAGGAATGGACCATGTACAGCCCATAAACGTCATTTATATGCTTTCCTATGAGGAAACATCTACAGGGCGTTTCATTTAAATTGTACATCTTTGAACGCTCATATCTCTGAGAGGACGCAACCGTTCTTTACGAAATTTGAGCACAATATAGAGCAACCTTTGCCAAATTATTGGACGGAGTTTCTTAATTGCAGCGCCATCTATTGAGTTGAAACACCGATTCTGACAAAACATCTGAAACCAAGATCTTATCAACTGGATGAAATCTTTTAAAACTGATCATTCGTTAGATAATGCCTTGATCCAGTGCTGCTGAAGATTTCATGATTGTATCTCATCTCCTTACTAAGATATCAATCGTCAAACCTTAACCCACCCGCTTACACTTAATACTCTCAATGCCATGGATTTTTCCGATGTTTTGGCCTGAGCCCCTGTTACCATCGCCCTGACGCATGAGGCCTACGGCGCAAGGCTATAACATTTTTGGCCAGAATGCACAAGGTCGTCGAAATGAAGGTTAGGTAAGCAGACGGGTCAAAGCATTTTGCAATCTGGGATAATGTTAGCGTGAATTTGCCACCAAGTCAGCGAGATACCATGGCTAGTCACTACACCAAAGAGGAAAAAATCGAAATTTTGGAGCAATATCTCTTGAACAAAAAATCTCCCAGCGAGACCTCAAGAACTTTGAGGGCAATCTGGAATCTGCCAAGGCGTGTTGCAATCAGTCGGTCTGTGTTTGCAAGCATTTACCGAAACTTTCGAACATTCGNTTTGGCAAAGGTTGCTCTATATTGTGGTCAAATTTCGTAAGGAACGGTTGCGTCCTCTCAGAGATATGAGCGTTCAAAGATGTATAATTTAAATGAAATGCCCTGTATATACAGGGTGGGCCAAAAAAAAAACAAGTCTGTCATTTTTGGTGAGTCGTCAATCACTTTGTACTTGGACAATTTTGATTGAAATAAGCAGACTTAAAGGGTGACAAAATTGGAGTTTGTATGCCAAATTTCCGGCATCTGACTTTAAAATTATAGGAGTTGTAATTATTTTCTGATGACGAACAAAATTTCTTGTCGAAAATAGCAATATGATCATGAGGCTGGGATGAAAGGTAGGTACGAATTCATCGACCTTCCATCCCTGCGTGATGCAACAAAGGAAGTTTGGGAGACACTGCCACAAAGGTGTATTGACCGAGCTCTTGATCTGGGGTTTCCCAGACTAGAGGATTGCGTTCAACAGAATGGAGGACACATTGAGCACATTTTCAGTGGAAATGTACGTCCCTAAACCAAATTGTGTTCTTTCGTGTTTGGTATTCGTGCATCTGTTTTTATTATGTTTGTCTGCTTATTTTCTTCTGTCAGTTGTAAGAATTTTCAAGCTGAAAGGAATCCTGAGCACTTACTTTTTGACCAAGTTGAACTTTCCTTGCAAGTTGAACTTAAATAAAATATACCGTGCAGCTCGAACCCGTCCGATTTTTCCTATGCATGTTAACTTCCATGCATTCTTTCTTGTGTTAACCCACACGTTGGACATTTGTGCAAGTTCTGGAGGGACGTTAGACGATTTTGATGGAGAATACAGGTAGTGCGCCTGGACTTGGGGAAACAAGAAGGGGGGTACCTTCATCCTTTTGCTACCATCGACAGCCTCATTCGCTCACTTTGTTCAGTGCGAAACAAGTGAGAGTAAACGTTCTCGTTCTTCAACGGCTCTTGTGGTTTTCGTTTGATTAATCCGCTTTCAAATCCGTGATAACGGGCACGATAGAGAAGCTAGTGAGGGTACGCCAAGATCAATGGCGTATTTTGGCTGAAGCGTTAGAGGGGGAGGGCAACAGAGCGGGGACGCGAAACCTCACCCAAACGATATCAGGGAAAAAAAAATTATCTGTGCCTCTTCAGGCAGGCAGCTCCCCCCTCCTGCTTCTCCGTGAAATTCGCCACTACGAACGTTCTTCAACGGCTCTAGTGGTTTTCGTTTGATTAATCCGCTTTCAAATCCATGTATGTCCGCAGTGCCATGTTCACATGCGCGACGCCTTCTGCCTGGCTCTGGGTGTCAGTCTCGCTCTCGAGCTCGCACTTTCCCTGTGGCCATTGCGGCTGTCGGATCCATTCTCGAGAAAGGGAAAGAGAGGAATTGTACGTCTAGTGCATCTCCCCTCCCACCTGTTGAAAGGATTTCACACTTCGATGCGGACATTCCCGCGGGGATGTGTAAATCGTCCCCGCTCATAACACGTGGAGTCCCTTTTCATCCTGTTGCAGTAAGGATGACTTCCTTGCCAGGATAAGATATCGGTCCCTTTATCAATCGTACTCCGTCTTCGTATTGATCGGCACTCTCACAAGGAGAGCGACTGCCGAGGATGAAAGCGGGGATTCCATCTGGATGGGATAGAACAGGATCGCTAAGCCTTGGATAGGAAAGACGCCGCCGGCCGCGTAGTAACAATCCAGTTTCTCAAGCGTATTTTTCATTCATAAGCCTGCATGAAAGGTGGTGATGAACTTTATGGACGATACACACAGGGTCGCGATTGATACAGGATAAGAGTGCTGTTTGATGAAAGTCCGTATCGTTGGCGTGAATACTCCCGTGGGTAAGGGGGGATGCGCGAGACGTACAATGTCCAAGCGGCTGCTACGTTGAGTATTGATAGGGCCCCTGACTAGACTTGTGAATACCCGGAAATGCTACAGGCTTAGCGCCGGCATGACCCGGATGTCGTGGATGTCTTCCAGGGGTTGGGCCCTTACGGAAATGTCCTATAGGAAACCTTTAGCTATTTCTTATAGGAAACCTTGTAGGAAAGGAAATATGGACTTTCCTATAGGTTTTTGAAACACGAAAAACCTATAGGATCCTTTAGAAACCTATAGGATCCCTATAGGGTCTTATAGGTCTCCTGACATATAGGACTCGGGGAGGATATTTTGGGTTTCGAAATCCAGGCATTACGACGGAAAAGGCGACCGGGGTTAATATTGGCGCAGCATTTCGGTGTAAATAAAAAAAAGATTAGGGGTTTTTCCATGGTAGGGGGACATGCATTATTAATACAAGTACTGCGGGGGTCTGCATAACTTATGACCCCGCCCCAACATATGTCGCTGGATTGCACGTATACTTCCTTCGGTAGAGAGAAGTAGTATTCTTTTCTCGACCNAACCCTAGAGGCCTATAGGGTTCCGTATAAGGCCTATAGGGAACCCTATAGGTCCTATAGGGAACCCTATACAGTAGGTCCTATTGGGAACCCTACTGGTTTTATAGGGAACTCTACGGGTCCTTTACAGAGCCCTTTGGGTCCTATAGGGAACCTATAGGCCTTATGAGGAACCCTATTGGTTCTAAAGGGGCTCTATAAGTTCTATAGGGGCCTCTCTAGGTCCCGAACTGAACTCTATGGGGCATATATGAGCCTATAGGATTCCTTTAGGTTCCTACAGGATTCTTATAGGAATATATAGGAATCCTATAAGACATTTTCGTAAGGGGGGTCTCTGACTCGCTTTCGAACTCGGTTTCTTTAGAGCCTTCGCGCCTGTGGGATCCGTCCTCGAGAACGAGAAAGAGCGGCTGCCGCGTATTGTTCAAAGGGCCGTTAACTGAACTTGTGGATTCCAGACAAAGTTACATGGTTAGCCAAGACAAGAGGTGTCAAATTTGATTAAGCTGGTGGACGGATGAAACCCTTCAAAAGTGGTTTGGTTCACATTTAGCAAATCTTACATTAAGTTTTCAATAGCTAACATATTGAAAAATATACGCTTCTCCAAAGCCAACTGGTGAAGAGGACTTTGCGGTCCGGACGAAAAGCTGGCCGGCAGTTAAACACCCTTTTTCCTAGACCGATCCGAAGTTCGTGGAAGTCTTCCACGGGTCATTCTCAAGAACGGGATGGAGCGGCTGCTGCTTATATCGTTGAGAGGACCGGTGAGTTTTAGGGCTGCCGACTAAACTCGGGAATGCCCAAGAAACAGTTCGTGGAAGGCTTCCGCGGGTTAGGGTGCCCGTCACACGCGCTCGAGCTCCCTCTCTCTCTGCAAAATGTCATGTATTCCCCATCAGTCAAAAGTTCCGGCTGGATCCAATATGTGTTTTGACTGGAATAAGGTGGAACTAGCTAATAGCAGCTGGATTTATCTGGTCTTCCTTATCAGCAGAGAAAGTGGAATTTACTGGAATGGGTCCATGACTGAAGAAAGAAGTTCTGCAGCAGCTGCTCGACCTGGCCCAATCTTCACGTCAACTTGGACAACAGCTCGGATGCGACCAAAAAATCGTCATCAGACATCTCCGCGACCTCAACAAAGTTCGCAAACAAAGCGTTTGTGCACCCCACTAACTCATCGAAGGTGAAGATTTGCCCGGGTCTTCATCGAGCAGCTGCAGCAAATCTTCGTTCTTCTCTCAGTGAGTCGTCCAGAGTGGGGCTTATCATCAATGACGTCCCTCCCAGAGGCAAAATTATTGAGCCATCGCTTGCATGTCGAAAGACTTGGAGCAGCTTCACTGTATGCTTCCTGCAGTTCTCTGTAGGCAACTTGCGGTGGTAAGCGTAAAGATGGCGCGGAAGTAAATATTTTGGCAAATAATTGTGCTGAAAAATGCAGCGATACAATAAACTTGCCAACCCGTGGAATACTTCCACGAACTTATTTACGAGTTCCTGAGTTCATTCAGCGGCCCTAAAACTCAATGATTCTCTGTACGCTATAGGCAGCAGCTGCTGTATCCCTTTATTGACTGGAACTCATTTCGCGCATATATCGACACTTTTTCCTATCTATCACAACCCTGCCTGCATCGTCCGTAAAGTCCATCATCATAACTTTTCGTGCAAACCTATGAATGAAAAATGCAAATTTGGAAACGGGATGGTAACGATGCGACCGGCGGCTTCCTGGTGATCCAAGGATGAGCCCCCTTGTTCTTTCCCACCCAGATGGGATCCCGCCGCTTACACCCTCAGGAGATATTCTCCTTTTGAGTGAAGGAAAATGGGACTCCAAGTGTTGCACATGCATTTTCACGCGTGGAAGTTCGTATCGAGGGGCGAACACCCCTTTCTTAGGGGGGAGGAGGGCAAAGGGTACAATGACTCTCTCTCACTCGCGACTATTTTGGAGTCGGATATCCGGACATATCAGATTTGATTGTTCTGTGTAGAATAGTGTTCCACCAAGGTTTTTTTCGGTGAAGGTTATATGGGCACGCTTCCTTCTCCCAGTCTGGGTATCCTAAATGTACTCCTCCGGATATTTGTTTCTCCACTCTCTTCTGTGTTCCCGGCTTGACATGAGTCAGCTTCCGCTAAACCTTTCCTTGAATGAAATTTCCAATCCTTGTTGAGACATTCTCCTAATTCCAGAGGTTATTTCTCATGTTCAAACGCTTCGTCACTGCGCGGAAAACAAAACCTTCTCATTGTATTTGTTGTCCTTTAGCATTTAACCAGTTGTATTTCACTATATTCTGCACGAAACCGCCCTCTACCTTGTGTAGTGGTAGACCTCCACACGGGCTACCACTATAAAAGCAGCGCGCGCAACACGAGTGTGTTCTCGGACTAACAGCTAAAGGGTTAACGTACCTAGGTTAAAATGAAATTGAAGCAATCTGGAGTTGCGTAATGTTATTGGTAACAAGCATGAAAACAAACATATGGAGTACATGTCAGAGATAAGGCCTTACGTCTTGGCCAATTTCCTGATCGAATTCCTCATTTCCCTTTGCTTCAAATTCTTTTTGGAGAATATGTATCATCGCCTTGATTGCAGGCTTCCCAGTGGAGGCTTCTTATATACAGCAGTTCTGGTTTGTCAGTGAAGACAAGGGGGTCAGCCTCTGTCCTTGCTGACGAACCACTACTGGTGCGTATGACGAGTCGCCACTGAGGCATTCCCATTGATAAGCTTCATCAGTAGAAGGAGAAATAAAATTATGAACGTCCTTGAAGTCTCAGTATGTGATAGTGTTTGCAATGTTCAAAGCATATCGGGAGTCCGACAAAGTCTTTGTTACAACCTAGATCATGTGAAACAGCCATTTGACTTACTTGTCGTTGGTACCATTGCTAATGAATGGACTATTCCAACGCTTAATATTTCTCCAAATGATGGATCCGACATAGACATCGTCTTAATTTATGTAGAGGCCCAGGGGATCATTATGCAAAACGAATTACACTGTGTTGTTGTTGAGGGTAGAAGGGAAAAGGAGCTGTTTCTTCAGGAAATCCTACCTCTGAGGGGAGACTGGGCATTCCCAAAATTCATAGAGGTCGTTCGTCAATATGACCGTGACGCACTTGACAATAAAATGTAAGAAGGCGAGTCTTGAATAAGTCGTGAAAAAACTCATTTAATGTAAATTCTCTTAAGCCACGATTTCAGAGTTCTGCTTAGAAACTCGCTATGGTCGCGCCTTCGGTGCTCTATTACCTTGGATAGTGATTAATTCATTTATTCTTTGCGAAATAGCAAGCACGTATGTAAAGTACGTCCCCATTGAAATACGTGATAGATGGGGACGAAAGTCTTGATTTTTATCAAAACCATTACTTCTATGATTTCTAGAGTGCCAAACTTGAAATCTTTTCATGTGTCCCTTTTTATTAGTGTGGAGAATACATTTTGAAATACTCCCCTCTTATAATCTATGCTATTGGAACATATTACAAAAGTAGGATTTTTCCTATAAGCATCCATCAAATAGGTACTTTTGAGGGAAATTTAAATTTTGTGTCTCTGTTTCGTTTGATAAAAAAAAATTCAGGAAAATGGGACTGAAAAAAGGGACCTGATGGGTTTTTAACGAAAATTGTATTTCTTCTGAAATGTAGACTCAGGGAACTCCATGCCATATGGTTTCAGCCTGATACGTTTCCTCTTTTTGCTTGTGGAAAAAAATGTATTTGGAAAAGCGACCAAACCAAAAGCTGTGTTCTGAGGAGATGTATAAAAAAAGTTCAATTTTTCCTTAAATCAACATCACGCCAGTGATGCTTGCGCCAGCTACTTTTCTATGTCTGCCCGGTGAACTACATGCCCATTAAGTTTCAATATTATACGTTTGCAAAGGGTGGAGAATACATTTTGAAATACTCCCCTCTTATAATCTATGCTAATGGAACATATTACAAAAGTAGGATTTTTCCTATACTCATCCATCAAATAGGTACTTTTGAGGGAAGTTTAAATTTTGTGTCTCTGTTTCATTTGATCAAAAACAAATTCAGGAAAATGGGACTGAAAAAAAAGGACCTAATGGGTTTTTAACGAAAATTGTATTTATTCTGAAATGACTCAGGGAACTCCATGCCATACGGTTTCAGCCTGATACGTTTCCTCTTTTTGCTTGCGTAAAAAAATGTAATTGGAAAAGCGACCAAACCAAAAGCTGTGTTCTGAGGAGACCTTAAATGAACATCACGTCAGTGATGCGTGCGCCAGGTACTTTTCTATGTCTGCCCGGTGAACTACATGCCCATTAAGTTTCAATATTATACGTTTGGCCATTTCGCTGGTGAAAGAACATGCTTGGAAAAGAAGTCCCGCAGAAATGCCATGCCCGGAGAGGATGCCCCACGAAAGGTGAATACTCCCTCAGCTCAGTAATATCGTCACTAATACATGTGCCAAGTTTCACCTTTGTATTTCTGTCCAATTCGCCGCGACAACTTTTTTTTTGAAAACATCACACCTCGAAAAAATTCCCCATGGGAAGTATCCAGACTTAACATTTTTTATATAACTCGTTGTCTCAGATGTCACATTCATGGAAAGTTTCAGATGTCTATGTTCATCAGTTTAACTGATGCAAAAAAATTAATGGAAAACATCTCCCTTTGAAATTTGTGGCCCCAAGGCATTTACTTCCAAAGTCTGAAGTTTTCTGTAGCATCCCAACAGGTAGTTATGTACCAAGTTTCATCATTTCACACTATCTCAATACGCCGGGCCAAAAAATACTTGAAAACGTCGGCTCACAAAAATATGCCCCGAAGGCATGAATCTAAAATGTTTCATTTTTCCTGAACTCATCATCTCGGTAGGTACGTCCATGCTTGTCCATGTTTCAGCTTTCCATGTCTCTCTGTTTTACTCAAGCAAAAATAATGTTATGGTGGGGGAATGAGTAACAGGACATGGAAAGCAAAAAAAAAAATTGGCCAAGGAATGGTCGGGAATCGTACCCATACCTTCTGATTGGCTGTTAGTGATGCTACTATTACACCACTGAATCCAGGACATCCAGTTGTCTCTCTGAATGCCATCCTCATCTGTCACAAAATATTTTTAAGAAAAACGTTTCCCCCCAAAATTTGTACCCCCAGGGCATGTACCTCCAAAGTCAGAGTTTTTCTGAACTCTACATCCCAAAAGGTACTTGTGTACCAAGTTTCAGATTTCTAACCCTTCTAGAACGTGGTTAGAATTAGCGTCAGTCAGTCAGTCAGTCAGTCGTCTATATATATTAGATATCCAGGGACCTTTTCCATGAGAATTACTTATGCTTGCTCAATCTCAAATTCATCCTTGCCTTATTGTTACTCAACTTTTACTCAACTCAAAAACCTTTTCATGAAGCTTCTCAAACTGCTGTTGAACTTGTTTTCTATTTAACTCTTGTGTTAGTCTTCTTGCATGTCTCCCCAGCCAAAGGGGACTGCAAAGCTCATTAACCTCATCCATGATGCCCCCCCAATCCGAAAGGGATTGGCTTTTAGTGTCAGATCGTTTTCCCCAGTCTAAATTCCATGAGAAAAATTCTTAGATTTATTATTCCATTGGATGCTAACATAAAGTTTCTGGGAGTCAGGATGATTCATTACATCACTGCTACTGTGTACTTCTTGATACGCAGAAGGTTGAAAAATGATTTGAAAATTATAAATTCTGGTAGAACCATCTTGCCTGCATGTGTCCATACCTCTTCATGCTGGCAATTTCAGCTTTAATTCTGCGAAACATGACATATGGGAGAAAAGAAAGAAGAAATCCGAGCGTATTACTGCACGTTCAACTATAATATGGCCAAACAACTGCATTAGAAAAGTTACTTAATCAAAACACTTATTGATATCACGCCAGCATTGAAGAATCTGCAGAATGAGGAAGATAATGGACCTGAGGAGGAACTTAATTCCAATGGAGGAAATGAGACCGGCAATGGGCTTCCTGACCTTGAGAGCGTGCCAACCAATGACGCCGGAAGTGAAACAACTATGTAAGTTCGAAAGTCTTCCCGCTCCGATATTGCCATTTTCATGGAGACCACACCTCACAAATGAATCACGAACGAATCATTAAAGGAATAGACCATCTCAAATCCATGAATTTATTATTCAATAGGCAAATGGTTTCCATTACGTTCTGCCGAATTCGCAGTAAAGCCGAACAATTGACAAGCGATCATCAATTGTGGAACGTTCCTCAGTGGTTTCCCTCCAACTCCTTTCAATTGAACTTGACCACATTGGAGATTCAATACATCAAACAAGTGACAAACAACGTGACTCAGCGCCGCAGCCGTGCTTTCAAATGCAAACGCCTTTAAATGACCCACCTAAAAAGGAATTCCAATTAAGTCTCAGAAAAAAATAACCATCGACCGTATCAAAATGCGGAAAAGTTTTACTTTATTGAGAATTATGTTTTCTTTCAAATGGTGCAAACGATCACATCTACCATTACAAATGAATTATTTGTAATAAAACAAATAGCAAAGAGGACTCTTGACGCACCCTGTAGTATTGCCATTTAGAGAGTTAGTCTTTTAAAAGTAGATTAAAAGTGTACCAAAGTTTTTATGGCCAAGCCTTGTAGGTCTTGCGTGTTAGGCAAGCGGATGCGTGATAACCATTCACCACAGATTTTGGGTTCCATTTCAAGTTCTACTCTAGGCCACTAGATGGTGGTATTGGGTTCTCGCATTTCCCTATGAAATAATCATCTCTCATTAGAGAGCTTTGTATATCCCCAAATGTCTCGCCTTGCCTCTTTGTAGCAATCAACAAACTTCGACACTTCCTTATGTGTCATCCCCATCTTCCAGATAGAATCATGGAGTTTAGGCCAGAAATATGCCCATATTCCCTTTGAAAACCACGTACCAGAACATCCGGAAGGAGTTTCAGTAAAGAGACGTGCTCACAGGCTCTGTCTTCTGTTTCCTTAGGTCGAGAAAAGAATGATACTTCTCTATACAGAAGCAAGTGGACGTGCAATCCAGCGACATAAGTGGGTTTGGGTAATAAAATATGCAGACCTGAGCAGTACAAGTATTTGTTATGCAAGTGCCCTTACCATGAAAAAAACCCCTAATCCGTAATTGATTTACCGCTGCGGCAGTATTGACTCCGGTCGCTTTTTCCGTCGTAATGCCTGGGTTTCGAAACCCAAAAAATCCTCCCCGAATCCTATAGGTCACGAGTCCTATACGACCCTATAGGGATCCCATACGTTTTTTCGTGTTTCAAAAACCCATAGGAAAATCTATAGGTTTCCTATAGGATATTTCCGCAAGGGAGGCCTGGCGGTTTAGACCATGGATGGCCTGGTCGATGACAGAATATTATATCATCGTAGGTTTCGCGCATTAGAAGTGTCAGTCATCACAACTCCCGACATCTTTCGATTAAAGTATTGGATATTCTGCATATGATGTGCCTTAGTAGTGGAGAGCAGTGGGGTCGTATTGGTACTCTTGGGTACACTTCTGCGTAGACTGCAAAACCGAGATAGGTGAATCGGATATACATTGAGGCATTAGGACCATTCCCACACCGTGCTTCACCTCAAATGAACTGACTGTATATGTGCTGGCCCTTCAGCGGTTTGGATGGTGGTGGGCCAGAGCTGACAAGTGGGACATATACCTGATGGCCCACAACCCTATGAAGTTGTTGAGTCACCAGCTGTCTTCCCCAAATGCAGATAGTGGGATACTCACCTACGTGCTACTTGGGATGTAACAGTCAATGTGTCCGAAATGTCTTCTAATAAGTTCAAAATAAGCATTAGCAAAAACTAAGCGCTTGTCTTTCGCTGTAGCCGTAAGCTCTATGGCAATTAAGACAGACAAGGGAAAATTAAACTTCGGATTTATACTTTAAAAAAAATTTATGTCATTCATTAGATCAATCGTCTACCGTAGACTAAGTGGGGTCAATCGCACGAACAGCTAATCAGATCATGCACCATTCAAGATATTAAAATTACTCCACTAAATTAAAAATGACTTATTCAAAGATAGCAGAAGCTTGGGGAGGGGTTCAATAGCCTTAAGAACTTCCATCCAAAAGGTAACGAGGGCTTTTGTGAAGACGTTACGTTTGGTATTCAAGTGTGATACAAGTCGCAATTCGTACATCCAGGTGATAAAGAATATGAATTGATATTAAGTATGACTTGATAAGAAAAAGAGTGATCTTGTGTTTGCTCTTCGTCTTCACAAGGAATTGCACAGGAAGATACTAGTACAGGAAGATACTAGTAGATAAGTACATACTATGCAGAGGACTTGCATCACATGCAGGATTGCTTGTCTCAAGACGAGAATATTCCTTGTTGTAATTGCATCGTCATCGGAAAATAAGTTCCATTCATTCTGAACTCTTAAAATTCACCAGCCACACTATAGACGAAAGTTATTCATTTCCGTGAACGTTTTCCATTCACCCTAGCAAAGGTTTGAGGTTTTGTCAGAAGTTCCCTTAACCCATAGAGTGCCATAGCCGATTACAGCGACGCAACCAATTTCTTTGTAAAGGCCAGTGTCGAAGAGCTGACGATTAAAGGGTTAATAAATTCTTCTAGTCTGAGCGTTCGATCGTGTTCCCTCTCCAACTTTAGACATTTTAGTGCCAGCTCTTCGACTCAGGTATTTTTAAGCGATATTTGTAGCGCCGCTGTAAGCGACTCTGGCACTATGGGAGCTAATTCATGCAACCAAGTCACATGATTCTTGGGTACGCAGCAATCTGCGGATGAAAGTATGACATTGTAATGGTGCCTAACGTCACCAAATGACGTCATCGTCAACCAGCCAATCTTTAGAATCGCAAATTTCCATGCTTTCTTCCTGATTTCTTTGATTTCCACAAACGTAGAACGTCATGGTGCCTCAAGTCTCACATTCCAAGGAAAAGATGATCACTAATGAAAGCGCAATGTTGAGAAAGCAGTATCAGCTCTGCTTCAGTCACCTTAAACAATATTTATTTCATATATATCTCAATATTCAAGTTTAAGCATGTGCATGAAACGTTCGTAGCATGCAGTTCACAAGTCGCAAAACATTGCATCGCCGGGAATATTCACTTTCACTGTTAACGTTTTCAACGTTAGCAGATTCTTCATTCACCTGATGATCGAGATTCGTTCGCGAGGGAAGGAGGGAATTTCTTAATTGTTCTATGTTTCATAGCGCTCTGCAACTACCACCTGTACTTCATCCAGAAAGAATTTTGTGCTATGTGATCCATGTAAAGGAAGTTGCTTTTGCTTCTCCCTATGTTCTAGTAAGGTGGACCAGAAGAAATTCGTTGTATTCCCAGTACTACTGACATTCTTCTATCTTGAGTGATTTTCTGTATTTTCCCTTAGTTACGAGCGTGGTGCAGACGCAGACGCAGAATCACCAAAAGGCGATTCACAGGCCCCAAACAATATCTCTCAGAAGGTAAATTTGCTTTAAAATTGTTCTAAATATCGGTTTCACATCATGGCTAACTACGAATTTTTCTCTGAGATTGCCATTTTCAAAAGGAGAGGTTGCACATAGCCTTTAAAAGTGGCATGAATCTTCTGTATTCTGTGAATAAAGTGTACTCCAGGTTTAGCATGTTCAGGGTGGTCCATTTAACTCTGAGATATTTGTTTTTGTAAATTAATTTTTTAAGGTTTAAAATTGAAAAATGATAAGAATTTGATTTAAAACTTAAATTAAAAAGTAAATAAATAAATAATTTTTGTAAATAAAAAAGAAACAAGGTGGGGTTAGTTGGTTGGTTTCAACATTTCTGGCAGTCTGGCAAGTTGCCCCATCTTCTTGAAAGCAACCAACCAACACCACCTCGTTTTTTTAAAGTTCGGAATAGCAGCGTCAATGAGTGAGAAGCACATGATCAAACAAGATCGGGCAACTTGCCAGACTGCCAGAATTGCTATGTGTGTTTTACAGCAAGAGTTTGGGGTAAGAATAATTCCTCGGCTCATCAACGTGAAGTTGCCCCCCTGTTCCCCCAATCTGCCCCCGCCTGGTTTCTTTCTTTGGAGGATGTTAAAGGCTAATGCTTACAAGACACGTCCCAGGAATAAAGATGAACTTAACAGCAAAAATTCCGAGGCTATCCCTGCAATTGATGAAGAAACACTCTGAACTTTCATGAACAACATGTTTGTTCGATGCATATAATGCATGAATTCCAAAGGACGTTTAAAGAGTATACTATTTAAATAATATAATTATGATAATTGGTTTAAGAATCTCCTATGTTTGTACTTCATTTCATTCATTTTCGTATAACTTATTTTTGTCCCGTTTTATTGCGAAAAGAAATTTGTCCGAGCTACATATACCACCCAGTATTGTCAACATAATGTGTTTGCCAGATGAGTTTCACAGGAGAATTGCAGCCTAGTTTGGGGAAGAAATAATATTCAGGTCTGCAGTTGTGTTTAAGTGGTGCCCACGTGTTAAACCTTAAGCTAAAGTATGCTGGTCAGGCCAGAGCTGCAAACCAAGTGTTTTGACACTTGCAAACCATAAGCATATTGAAACCCTTTTTCTCTCCTTTCGTGCTAGTCTGGAATGGGGTCATTCGAGATTGCCAATGCCAAAAGTTTATTAAAGTCCCATCTGCAGATAAAATACGATCTTCAGTACAATTGGATACTCCAGGGTTATTAATGTTATATATTTTACCATAAGATTTTACCAGGAGCAGTATCTACTAATGCAAGGACCCGCTACAAGTACTACAGGTGCTACAGTACAAGCAGCAATTCGCAAAAAATTCCCGATCTCATAGAGTGCTGTTTCTGCAAGACAATGCTTGACCACACACGGACCATGAAACTGGGACAAAACTTTTGCCCCAGACTGAGAGTCACTCCCGAGCTCCCCATACAGCCCCAAATTCGTTACAAGCAATTTCAATAAGTTTGGACCCCTGAAGAACACCTGAGAGGACGGAAACTTCTCTGACGAAACTGTCAAAGCACGTCCTAAAATGGTTCAAAAAGCGAGACAGGTTTTTCTTTGTAAGGGCATTCAGTTACTAATATATCGTTATGAAAAATTCTGCGCTGTAGAGGGCGAATTCGTGGAGTAGTTAGAGTTTGAAAGCTATTTTATTGCAAATGAATGTAAATAATTTATTGAATTCCACGAATGACTTGAACAATTCTCGTAGATTAAAGGTATTTTCTCACTCTCGCCTGAATGGAAGGCCAAAGTACAATGCACATCAGCAAACGCAATCTACAGGATGCGCCAGAAGTAGGGAAACAGGCTTACTCAGTTGCAATGCATGAATTAGCAGATCTAAAAAGATGTATTAAACTAAATAAATAAAAACTGTTCAATGCTCTTAAATTTTTCAATAAAATACATCTGCCATGGCCGCCAAATCGCAAGTTTCCGAATGAATGCAAAAATAAAAACAAGTTGAAGCAGCCCAGGTACTGGTCTTCCATTCCACTGGTCCATATACAAATGAACATCGCCTCATCCTAATCTTCAAACCTTGAAATAAATAGCTGCCATTGGTACGTCATCAGCCTATATGAAAAGGTCCTGGTAACTAGACATGTTTTCGATGGTTCGCGCATCCGTGTCAGACGGAGATGGGAGGAGAGTATGAAGTGTAAGAGGAAAAATGCGGCATTTCACGCGTACGCCCATCAATCCCGTCTACGCGACCGCGGCATCCACCCTCTCTTTGGTTCGCTATGAATTAGTCATCCTTGAGGGCTGGAAGGGAAGTATATGTTTTATTGGAAGAGGGGCACCCCGACCCAGACGGATAGTGGCACATGCGTAGTTAGCCAAGTTGTCCTTGATACTGCGAACAGACGGAATGGAAAAAAGTAACACACCTATATCTGACGTTTCCCAATAGTTCCAATGGGAAGAGCAGATAAAAACCAGTCTCTTCCAAGCATTGGATTACTCGCTGTAGCCCCTTTGGATGGCCTCCGCGCCCCTACAACCTCACGCCTATGGATTCCTCCATGGCGTTTATTTGCGTGAGAATGCTAATGGTACCCTTTTATTTATCTCGTTACAGCTTCTCAGAAGTATTCCCATTGCCTTACTTAGTGGACAATGATTTATGGTAGTTTTGAATGAGTCAGAGGGATTTAAGGAGCACTGAGAGGCAGAGTTCGGTCTTGGCAGAGGTCTTTTCGCATACGATTATAGAGATCTTGAAGTTTCACTTCCCGCAGAGCAAAGACCCAGCGAATATTATTTACCTGTTAGATTTATAGGCTGATGCTTTCAATTCGAAAACACCCGTTGAGATGAAGGCCATGTGCTATGGATATTGCGTGATGATTGCAGAAAAAGAATGCAGACTACACATTGAACCCTAATTCTGAAACGTAGTCTTTACACTTATAATTCTTTTGTTAATGTTATTTGTACCATGTGCATAACATTTTTTTAAAATTCCTCTGACAAAAGTAGAGACAAAAGGAAAACATGCTGTGATAATCTGAACGTATGGACAAGGTTCTAAAACGGGAAATTGCTTAAGTTAACAAGTTTCCTGACCAACACCTTTGTCTTTCATGAACTCCATAGAGGAGAGGGAGATTCAGGAGCCTGGTCGCCGATGCACTCGCTTACTGCTCGGAAGACCTGGAGTTAATCGATGTTAGGGCCCTCTTGACGGATCTACGTGTTAAAAACATCATAAAGCACAACGATTATTTCGAAATAATGAAGGAGAGTCGTGGGGCCCAGTCACTGTATCTCCAGGAAGTCCTAACTTACAGTGGAGACTCCGCTTTTCTGATTTTTCTTCAGGCTCTCCGTCGACATGAATATACCACACTAGCAGAAAATTTGGAAAAGCGTGAGTTATACAGGAAAAGGAATATATAAAAACGTATTTATTTAAAAATTCTTATTTTCTGCTGTGTTACTGACATACTCTCTCGTTACTTGGGAGACTTAGAGGTCATAGACATAAATGGCATATTGGAAGATCTAAAGGACCAGAGGGTCATTGAGCACGCCGATTATGTCGAAAATACGAAGAAGAGTTGGAAAGAAAAGATGCTGTTTCTTCGGGAAGTTCTACCTCTAAAGGAAGAGCGATTTCCAAAAATCATGCAGGACCTCCGTGAAAGTGGCCATGTCTACCTTCCATTCATGCTGGAACAAGGTGAGTCATAAACAAAATCCTCTTTTTAACACATGTGATAAAACAAAATATAATTTATAACATTCACATTTACCGCGGTTTTCTTGTTCCGTTTCAAAAAATGCATCCCAGTATCCACAATGTTGCTTATATCCACCTGCTTGTAGTGGCTTGGAGAAGTTAGCTTTTGAAATGATGTTGAGAATGGACATTCTGTATATTAAACAGAAAGTGCAAAATAACGCTTTTGGAGACATGTAATCGCACATACTACTTTTACTCTCATTGTGTCGTTCCTAGATGGTCCCAAGAAGATCCCAAAATAATATTATTCACAATGAAATACAATCCCACTAGGCTTAATATTACGGCCGCTACAGATTGAGTAAATATTGGTAAACCTCCCCGAAATAATGTTCTAGCTAATGTAACCAATATACAGAGTGAGTGAAAAGTCACTGGACGCCTTTGAACATTAATGCGATTCATCGTTTCCAGTACATAGTTTGATTCATTTGAAAAAGCCTACACACAGAAAATTCAGTGCCTCAGTTCGATGCATTTTTCTCGCGAAAAAATCTGTCCTCCATGTGATGCGTCTTTATCGCATCGAATTTTGGATGCGATAAAAACGCATCACATGGAGGACAAATTTTTTCTCTACCAAATCGCATTAATTTGATTGTGTGTGTATAGGTCAGGTACATTATGCACTTCTGCCGCATTGAACATTTCACGAAGAACTTCAGCCAAGTTTAAATTTGCCTTGCATGTCCTGCATTGCAGCCACACTGAAAACTTTCATGCATTGTCCCCATATGATGCACGTGACATGCCTGATCTTTCTTCTTCTAGTTCTTTCTAGCAGAAGCGGTAGGACCTCACTAGACCCAGGTTGAACTCAGGCTTAATAGTGCAATTCATTCTGTAGAAGGCATCATTTTGAACCAATGTTGCTCTTTTTTTAACTTTCACCAGGCCATGTGGGGTCGCTTTTGAACCTCATGCAGGACTTTAGTAATGAAATGCCAGAAGCTGCAGGAAAGACTCTGCGATTTGAACAGGCAATCAAATGAAATCTATTAAGCATCAATAACATTGGAAATATGTATGAAAAGTGCAACTGATCTCCATTGAGGAATTTCCCAAAAGGCCTGGGGAAACTTGATAGATTCAATCAAGGTTTTAAACCAGAAACATGACATTGGATTAGATGCACCCCATGAATATGGCAAAAAAAGTTGCGCTCACGACGTGATGTGCCCAATCAAGCCAGAAAAACATTTTATCTCTCAGAAAATTTTTATTTTAAGCCAAGACAAATGAAAAAATAAACTGAAAATATTGCACATAATTCTTGAACAACTTCACATATCTTTCTTCCATGGTAACTATGGACATAAACAGTTAAGTTGCAATTTTTTGCAACTTATATTTTTCCAGAGCTTCTTGCTTAAATGAAATTATGAATATCTCTAATAGCATGTATGCACCAATTTCTTAGGATTTACTTGAGCTTCATCAAGAGACGCCTTACTGGCTGACACAATGGAGTCACTGTAAGACTGAATAGGCACCTTTGCAATATGTCTAATGTCTTCCTATTCCATGGAGGGAACTCAATGTTAAATATGAATAAGGAGCAAAGAATGTAGAAAAGCAGGTCATCTGATTCCAATTCATCCACTTCCACTCTGCCAAGAAAGAGTTTTCATCCATCGCCCTTGACTGCAACTGGGAGTCCTTCACAATTTTCTGACAGCTGAAATTAAGATGAAATTAATGGAATTATGCTGAGGAAAATATGTTAACAACTTCCACAGCAAATTTGTCATGCCTTGAGAGGATTTCAATACATATTATTGAACCATCACAAGGGGGAAATTATGACAGTCTGTTACATACTACATTTAATGAAAAGGGCTGGATTTTCTTGAGGGAAATAAAGGAGATCAATTAATTCAGTGCACCACTTTTTTGCAGATAACTTGCAAATGCCTGATTTTTATCACTGATTTTTATCTGCAGTTCACAGTGTGAGCTTATAATTGCCAGCACAACTTGGGACTTCATTAAAGTAAAACTTTGAAGGCTTAATATAAGAAGTTTAGGAGGTACTCACAGATGGTGAATAACTGATGTGGCATGGAGGCTCTTTGAAGTGAGAGCATAGAAGTCCATAAAGCTCTGAGCTAGGGACATCTGAAAAACAACATGGAAAACTTAAACAATCCCAAGTCATAGGTTTTGATTCACAAAGAAATGATGAACAAAGCCTAACCACAGTTGAGAGCATCCTTTAGCGGCTTGACTGCCTTTTTGACTTTCAGCAGCAAGTACGGGATTACGTCTTTGCACATGTAGCCCAGTTATTTTTAAGAAGCTCTTCGCTCCCCTCTCTTCTGGGCCTGATCGGTGCCTCTACGCCCTCAAATGACCCATCTTGCTTTAATTAAGACCTCCTTGCTCCTCTCAGGGTCGCAATCCTTGAATTACGGGCCTATGATTTGTTTCCCTCTCTTTCTCGAGCCATCTTAGCGAGATTGTGTAACATTGGGTTATCACGTGCTACTCTGAAGTTTGTAAAATCTCCTCAAAGATATCTGTTATAGGTTACGTCGCATCCGCCAACTTTTAAGACACCACATGATATTTTAAATAAGTAATTTATTTGAATCAGCGTGAGGCCTAAGAAGGTAATACATTGACGATCAAGGAATACATTGACAATCGCTTTGCGATATTCGAATCAGCATGGCGTTCATGCAAACTGAATCGACTGTTCCGGAGAGGAAATTCTTGATGGTACGCTTTTTGGGAAGGGTTCAGTCAGGTCCAGAAAACGGGCTTGAGAGAAATTTGAGGGAAATTCGCACGCGACACGCCTTTAAAAATGCGAGGGACCGCGTCGCTTCCGCGAGAAAGTCGACGCCCGCTTCGCAGAAGTCGCCGAATTCGTACGGTTTTGAAGAATGACACAAGAGGTATAGGACTGGGAACAGCGGAAAGAGATCTCACTCGAGTTGTAATTCGGGTGGTGTTTGTAGGTGGTGACGACGATTCCAGTTCCATTTGTCCGGTCTGCAGTCCCCACATGGATCGTCAGATTGGGGGTCGTCTCTCTTCGCGACGAAATCAGTCATCATTAAATCATCATTCAATCATTCAATCAATCAGGAAATCAGTCACCATGCAATCACCATGCAATCATGCAATCATCATTCAATCATCAATCATCATTCAATCATCAATCATCATTCAATCATTCAATATCATTCAATCATTCAATATCATTCAATCATTCAATATCATTCAATCATTCCATATCATTCAATATCATTCAATCATTCAATATCATTCAATCATTCAATATCATTCAATCATTCAATATCATTCAATCATTCAATATCATTCAATCATTCAATCATCATTCAATCAATGTGTCCACCAAGCAGATCATGAATCGTTGGTAAATTGCCTATCGATGTTGGAAGAAGTCTAGCCATTTCAATTTTTTGCTCACTCGGAAAAAATGGATGACGAGCTTAAATTCTTTTTTTTTACTTATGAAGCCATGATTTCTCGTTTGCCTTAAAGACGGTGGGAAAAAATTTTTCGGCGTGGATGTGCCGCGAAAAAAGATGGTCCAGAGAGCGGTTCAATTGGTGCATCGTAATGCTCAAAGTCTTTCTTTCCCTAAGGACGGTTCTACTGTTAGCTGCAATACGATTCACGGGACAGAGTAAAAAAAAAATATTTAAGGAAAAAGAGGAAAAATGAAAGACTGCCCGTTCTCACCCGAATAAAGCGACGCAGTGCCCAGCAGTGACGATCCACTGAGAATCTATGATGGAGCCACTGCATCCACCAGCCTGGTTCTTGAAGTAATTCGTCATCTGCACCATAAACGGGGCCTCCTCGATGGTGGCCGGCGATCCATTCACGATGAGGGGACTCTCCTGCCTGAAGGATCCCGCGATGACTCCGAGGAACCCGTTCCACAGGCGGTCGTACCAGGTCCGACTCGAAGGGTCGTGCTGTCTCGCCTCGATGTGCGATGCGCCCTCTCGTCCCAGATTCGACTGGCCGCAGGGGGGATTACCTGGCACTGTGCGGACGTAGGGCAACATTTGTGGGAACGAGTTCAATCACGAAAAAAAAAAGTTTTTTTCTAGGTCTATTTCAAGTGGAAGCTTCTGACTGGAGCATCTCTTTGCTGGCAGTTTCCAGAGAATCGTATAGAAATTATGCATATTCGCAATAATGTTGAATTCGAAACCTTGAAACCAGTGACGGCTCGCGATATTTAGCGCTAGCGTTTCGTCCATGGAGAGGGGCTGTAGGCAGCGCCTTACATTTGCCTTAATTTGTTTGAAAGAAGGTTATTCGCATGTCTGACTCTCGCCTATCTCATCCATCACGCACGAAACTCTTCCGTGTTGAAGGCAATTGAGAAACGCACGTGATGCCGACGTGAGAAGCTGAGTCTTCAGAAATGAAATGAGGCGAACTGGGCCAACGCGAGAGACGAGGCGAAGCAGCAGGGCAAAGGAGGGGAAGCAGCAGTGGAGAGGACGAAAGCGAGGGAGGCCACCATCCTACGCGCACCCGGATATGAACTCGAGGAAATTTATTCCTCTCTACGCTTTGATTGACACCCCCTGCTCCGCGGAAGAGCGGAGAAAGACTCAAGCCTCCATCCGGGCGTGAATTCTCGGAAAGGAAATTCTGAACGCTCGAGGGCGGTGACTTGCAATCTCAGGGACTAAGGGAAAAAAATCAAACAACGGGGACTCGAAGCTGCAAAAAATGTGACTTATCTAACGCGAAGAAATAATCGAACTGCTCAGGGATGCTGCTTAGGGCCTAAGTATTAGTTGAAATGGCTAATATAAGTGGCCGTGTGACTACATCTCGGACAATATTTTTGGAAAAAATTGGGAAAAAATTGTGCAAAGCTTTCTCAAAACTATGAGAAGCAGTCTTGAAAAAAAGACAAAGGAAATGTTAACCACCAACATCGTGGAATCGTATAAAAGGTATGTATATTTGCTATATTAAATTCTCATCCTTGCAACTGAAATCCATGTCACCGTTAGTTAAAGTTGAATTTTTTCTTCGATCAACTTTACTC